ATCCGTTTGCCAAAAATCAGCTTTAAACGTCAAGCAGTTTAAGCAGAATCGTGATTACTCAATGGTCATATTTTATGAAACACCCTGTATAAATTTATAAAAAATCTTAAAATATGTAAACAACAAAATAAAATATACGTGTTTAAGAGTTTTTCCGAAAAACTCACCGGTTTTTACTAAAAAATATTTTAATATTTGAAGGATAGTTTCACCCTCTTAGAATTCGAGTTTTGAAAAATCCCTTCTTATCGAACCTCTACACCCTAAATTCAATCTGTTTTCCAAAAATCAGCTTTTTACGTCAAGCGCTTTAAGCAGGATCGTGATTAATCAATGACCAGATTTTTCGAAACACCCTGTATCCATTTTTAAAAAATCTTAAAATATGTAAAAAAACAAAATAAAATATACGTGTTTAAGCGTTTTTTTCGGAAACTTGATTTACATAAAAAATATTGTAATATTTGAGGGGTGGTTTCACCCTCTTAGAACTGGAATTTCGAAAAATCCCTTCTTATCGAACCTCTACACCCTAGAATCAACCTGTATGCCAAAATTGAGCTTCTTACGTTGAGTGATTAATCAGTATGTCAGTCACTTAAGGATTTTATATTAGTATAGATTTTCAATTTATTTCTGTACATTTTCTGTTTCCTGAATACCCTGCAAATTTTGTGGAATACCATCCAAAATATACACTTTGATGTAAATGACTGATAATGTTAACGCTTAAATTTGTCAACAACCATTCCATTGTTGTTATTGTTTATTAAAAAATATAGTAGTAATTTGGATATTTCAGAAAAAATAGATATTTGTAATTAAGTTTCCTAGGTAAAATCCGCTACATAAACCATAATAGATTTAATTAGACATTTTATTATTGTTACAGTTAATTCTAGCTGAATAGGCTTGAATGAGATATAATTTTGGCAACTATTAAACCACTCCCACGTCTCTTAGTAGCAATTAGACTAACAATAGCATAGCATCACTTCCCGAACCTAAACAGATGGTTAATTTAGGTATACCTTAACTAGAACTATACATTTCGTTTGTATTAGACAAGATTCTTTAGACAATCCACAAAAAATGGGAATGCTTACGCATCCATGATATTACGTTATCCTCCAGTGCAAAAAATAACGTAGAACTACCGTATGATCGAAAAAAAAACGGCGTCCAGTTGGCTGGGTATCGATGACATTTCCCATATAAATTTATATACACACAACCAAACTTATATGGAATCATCTATTATTTTTTATAATTTTTGAGATGTATGACAATTTTGTGTTTATGAATAAAACTCAGTCTTTACCAATGACTTTTAATGAAAAGTAATTCATATAGCAATAAAAAAAATTAATCAGTTCTTAAAATAAACAAACAGAAAAACTTAACATGCAAATTTCCACAAATAAGACCAAATGCATGACCATTACAAAGGAGCCTCTACAGTGCAAATTGGTAATAAAAAACAAAACTATTGATCAGATAATATCATTCGAATACCTCAGATGCAAAATTACAAGCTCAAGATTCCTGGAAGAAGAAGTAAGGAAACAAGCCAATAAAGCTGCCGCAATATCAGGACATCTTAAATATCCCATATGGAAAAACAAACATTTGAGTACAGAATGTAAGTCAAGAATATACAAAACCTGCATACGACCAGTGATGACATATGGTGCGGAAACCAGAGCTGAAACATCAGTAACAAAGAGAATCCTACGAACTACTGAAATGAAGACCTTAAGAATGATAACTGGATACACATTGAGGGACAGACAGAGAAATGTAGACATAAGAGAAAAGTGCCAAACAAACGACGTTGTCAGATGGATAAGGCAGAGAAGAAGAGAATGGAACCAGCATGTCAATAGAATGGGCCCCGACAGAATAACCATAATAATTCGCAACAACGTACCCCATGGCAGAAGACCTACTGGACGACCACCTAAACGTTGGCAAGACAGTTGGCAGTCAACCTCGCAAGAGTTGCTTAGACGAGGAGGAAACCGGAACTAAACAGGCGATACGCCTTCTAAAAGAAGAAGAAGAAAAAAGAGAAGCTCGCAGTGGCGTGCAGTGCGAATCAGATCAGGGTAGGAAACGCCTTTTTGCCTACATCAGCTCGACATCTTTATTTCCAGAACTCATTAGAAGAATTAAGTTAGCATGGAGTACTTACGGAAGAAACTCTAAAGAAGAAAGCATTCGACCAATGTGTACTACCAGTTATGAACTATACATAGGAAACCTGGACACTTAAAAAGAATATTATAAGGAAACTGCAGGTCGCACAACGCTCAATGGAACGAAATAACACTAGGAATAAAGAATAACTAGAAATTACAGGTAATCAACAGTCTGTGAACAGAAGCATATCCCTCAAGCGCCAATGGGCAGGTCATCTGGCAAGCATTATCAGCATTTTCATTCTATTAATTATTGACCAAACCGAGAACCAAACTTTATCAATATACGTCAACTTCAGATCATGTGACATTCTTTGTTATCATATCCAAATTAGGTACATATCCCTAATATTATAAAACATATCCTAAAATTAGGTACAAACTTCTACATATCCGTCTTCAAAATTGGGAGTTGTTATCTGCTTCTTTTATGGATCTTGCTTCCAACATAATTTCCAATTGATTTGAGATCATCAAGTAATTTATTTTTATTAGTTTAACTTTGTCGATATAATACATAGCTATCTAATACAATAATGCCCACTTGCACCGTTTGTATAAATTTTGTTTAAAGGCTAAACAGTGATTAACTATATAATATCTTATCATAGTTAATCACCTTGTTTGTTTAGCCTTTAAACGAAGTTTATACAAACGGTGCAAGTGGGCATAAGTATATTATCTGAATCTGAAATAGGAAATGTAATAGTTAGTAAAGAAGTAATGCATGACACTGATAATTACCGATCAATTTCTAGTTCTTCATGATCATTGTCTTAAATTATCACATTTCGATGATATCAAATCACAGTTGGTTATTGAGTAAATATTTTACTCAAGACCTTATTTGTTATCTTCTTGTAATATCAAACTCTGTACAGAGCGTAGCTGACCTCTCGCATGTATTTGTGATGTTTGGAATAAGTTTTCACATGTCATTATTGTATTAATCAAATGTATTTAAAGTGATATGTCATTGCTTTCCTATTTATACAGATTTAAATAAATATGTTGTGACAGTCCCGACTGTTTTGTCCAAAATGTAGGTAACCATTTTTGGTAATAGTTTTAAATACAAAAAATTGCAAATTATGCACTAAATTTCAAAATATTTTATTTTTGGTACTAAAATGACGCTACGGAGGATTTGAACCCAGTTTTAACCAATTATTTTAAAATATGACCCAGGCATTCAATGCAAGACCAAGATTCTCTTGGTCTTGATTTTGCTTGTTGTGTCAGACCAAGACTCATCACTAAATTTCTGTCAATAGATAGAACTCTCTCAGTTAACTCGTTGCTAGACTAGCTAACTAGCAAATTTTAATAAACTAGCTAAAGAGAATATTTTGATACACCATATTATTTTCCCGGGCCACATTTTATTCAAATGAACTAAAAAATTCATTTTAACATAAAATAGGCTTCATTATGTAAAAGAGATTATGTGTGTCCGGATAGTTAACCGAAGCCAGTTATGTTAATTTCAGATCAACTACCATTTTGTATTACCTACCATATTATACAGGGTGAGTTTTCTACGATGTTCTCTATGGGTATTGCAGTTTTGTGAGGACAAACATATACATCTTTCGGATTTTTGAAAAAGTTTATGGCTTACTAAATATTTGAAAAAAAAAACAAATTTCGGCTATAACAGTAATTTTTCAACAAAATCATATTATCGTTTATATTGCTGGAAAGCTTAAAATGGTGCTTTTTATGAAGTCATGGCCATTTATGGTTTCCATTAAAAAAAACATATTTATGTTGTATCATATCTCAAAAATGACAGGCTTTAGAAAAAACGGAGAACACAATCTCATTAAGGATGTGAAAACTTTGGTCTAAAGTAGATTATAATGGAATTAGGGAATATTTTTTAAATAGCCGAAATTTGTTTTTTTTTTCGAAATATCTAGTAAGACCTTGATCATTTGACCGAATCCCTAGCTCCAGTAGTCTCCAAGATACCCATAGAGAACATCGTAAAACACTCACCCTGTATATTTATCTAAATATCCTTAATAAGGATGTTCCCTTCAGTCTGATAAACTTAATGCACAGAATAGCATACATGTAGGCGTTAGACCTTATTTTTGCTTTTTGTAGTTTGTTTAAATATCCTTAAGCATAATAGCCTTCTCAAAATATGCTGATGCTGCCATCTTATTCTTTTTGGAAATATATTAATAAGCCAAAGTAATAAAACATATTTTTTCTAATTCGATCTAAATTTTAAATTTCTTATTAGGTACAGTAGGTAGGTACACAAATATTGCGTGACACTGATAGATAACTGCCTGTCATTTTCTTGATGCTCATGTTCAAGGTCTTTTGATGCATTTCCAAATTAGGACCGGTAATATACATTTCAAGGAAATATTTTTTATAGAACCTTAATGTTATATTTTGCTAACTATAAGTCACGTGACATGATATATGTAGGTAGTAACAAACTTGTAACGTAGAAACTTTTCTACTTTGTGTTAATTGGAAAATCCAATAACTTTATCGTAAATAAGGGATTTTGGCACTCAAACTCCCTATTTTTTGCACTCGCACGTTAGATTAAATACTCCCGGTTATTACGTGGTCCAGCCAGTAGTCCCGCACAACCTAAATTTAACACATCTCCGAATCACTTCCAGGATTATTTTCGTATATTCCCCAGAGACGGAGCCTTGTGACTCGGTGGTTACATTATCCGACCGACCGTTTTCACAACATAACCTAAATCACTGCTGGGCGAAAAGGACCTTTCCGCTATTATTAGGTAAATAATCATGAAAAACTGACCTTTTCCTTTGCCCTGCCGGCGTGTTTTTGCACGGACTTGGCCAGTAACGATCCCCTGCTTTCTGCCATCTCGTCTGAATCCGTTTTTTCAAAGTAATTCCGATAAAAAATCACATATAATTGAACGAAAACGTCGCACTGTGACCCGACGGAACGAAGCGGCAACGACGCAAACACAGCGACAGTGGTCGAGCGACTGGCGGCGCGGACGGTGAAGTTTTTCGCTGTGGGCCGGCGAAAGAGACAGGTTCTCGGAATCTCGTAACGGTAAAGTAGGCTAGGTAAAACTCGAAAGTCCCGAGTTGCGGCGTTGTCAAATCGTGTTCGATTTCTGGGAAATGGGTAAATTAGTGCAACAAGTCGACAGTGCACGTTTACAAAAATTAATAATTGCGTTAGAAAAAGTGTTAACCTTATAAAAGCTATTAAAAGAAAATCACGGTTGTACAAAGTCCCATACCCACTATTCGTTGATGCGGTACTATTTGTTGATGCGGTTGTCAATGATGCGTGTCTTATATAGGAACTACCGGAGACAAGAAATAGCCATTTCATCCGATAGCCAAGCAGCATTAAAAGCGATCAACTCAGTTACCATTAATTCAAAGTTGGTCAAAGTGAAGCTAAACAAATTAGACAGAGAAAATAAAGTCCTCCTACTCTGGATGGCAGTCCTCCAAGGGATAAAAGCCAATAAAAAAGCAAACGATCTAGCTAGAAAAGGAATCAACACTTCACTAAGTGGACCAGAACCTTCTGCTTCCCAAGTGGAAACCAACATAAAGCGATACATAAGGACCTGGAAAACTCCATTCGCAACCTGGAATGGGAAGCCTCCAACCGATCTAAGACACTCGAAAAAATTTCTCAGAACTAATGACCTAGAAAAATCAAAGATTTTCCTTGATTTAAGTAATAACAATCTTCGGATTGTCACGGGGTGTTTACAAGACACTGTCTCCTTAATTATTCAACTTATCAACTTAAGATTGAAGCTATATAGCGTTGCCACCTATCCCTTTTTAAAAAGACAGTCCTTTTTTGGAACAAATTAGCCTTTTGACTTTTTTGTCCTAAAAAGTCCTTTTTATTTACGTATTTTCCATGAGAGAATTTTCGACAGCAACCAGCAATATTCCTTTCTTCCAAATGTAATTAGATATGTTATAAAACTTACAAATAAATGTTTTTTCTTCAAACGTCACAAAGGTATTAATTTTTGCGACGCGATTGACAACAATATAAAAATGTCATTTTAACTTTTACACCTAAGCATCAAAGTACGAAAATATATTATTAAACTGGCATAAACTCAATGGCGTCAGTACTCTCAGGTCAGTGCTCTTGCCCCCCCCCCTGAAATCTGGTACTGGTATTATAATAGTCAAAATTCTATGGTCTATGCCTTTTGAGTATCCACACAACGGAAGTTTCTTAAAAAAAATCAAAATTTATCGAAGGAGTAATCAACAGATTTGCATTAAATCCTAGAAGATTGCAGCTACTTTTGAAAATTTAATTCTGAAATAGAGTAAATACCTAGTACTTTTTGCTTAAAAGTTATTACGGTACATAGGTATTAGTTAGTGTGTAAATTTCAGCCCTAATATAATTTTTTTAATGTAATTTGGGCCAAATAGGTTTATCTAATATTTGTTTAGTTATTTAGGTTAAGACATATTCGCAAATTTTGTTCATCATGTATGTATTTATGTACTTACGTATGTATGTTGCAACAAAATCTTTTTTAAAGTATTAGTTGATTTTTCATTCATATTATATGCTTCCCCCCTTGGATTTCAGTCTGCGGACGCTCTTGATAAAGTGTCAAATTCAACGAATGTAACCGTAATTTCTTGATATACAGGGTGGCCCATCGAAAACGTTCCGCAAGGCATAACGGCCAGGGTATTTTTTTTTTCAGAAAATTCAAAATCACGTCAATTTTGTTTGTGAGGGGGACAACTTTTGCCCCAAAAATGATTGCAAAATGTTTAACCCTCTAAGCGGGGCTGTCATCCCCCATTTTATTTCAAATGGGAAGGTGGGTCAAGTGGTACTGCAATGAAAAGGGCTTTCTATTCTCTATACTTTACCGCTTCGTTTTTGAAAATCGGTCGAGTCATTGAGCAAATATGAAGGATTGAAATTTGAAAAGTTTATTTAAACATTTATTAGAGTAAATGATAAGGATAAATTCCTTCGACCAATTTGACGTTTTTCTTATTATTTCTAGATGTTTACGCATTTTTTCACTTGTCACAAGGTTGAACGATCAGCTGCGGTAGTTGCTAGATAGCAGTTCTGTGACTTGTGCGTTGAAGTTCTTCTCAATATTGTTAAACTGACCTATTTGATGATATTTGATATGACCTGGATTTCAGTCTGCGGACGCTCTTGATAAAGTGTCAAATTCAACGAATGTAACCGTAATTTCTTGATATACAGGGTGGCCCATCGAAAACGTTCCGCAAGGCATAACGGCCAGGGTATTTTTTTTTCAGAAAATTCAAAAACACGTCAATTTTGTTTGTGAGGGGGACAACTTTTGCCCCAAAAATGATTGCAAAATCTTCAACCCTCTAAGGGGGTGTCATCCCCCAACTTTTTTCAAATGGGAACGGGGGTCAAGTGGTACCTGCAATGAAAAGGGCTTTTTATTCGCTATACTTTCCCGCTTCGTTTTTTGAAAATCGGTCGAGTCATTGAGAAAATATGAAGGATTGAAATTTGGAATGTTTATTTAAACATTTATTAGAGTAAATGATAAGGATAAATTCCTTCGACCAATTTGCTGCTTTTTCTTATTATTTCTAGACGTTTACGCATTTTTTCACTTGCCACAAGTTTGAACGATCAGGTGCGGTAGTTGCTAGATGGTTGTTTTGTAACTTATGCGTTGAAGTTCTCAATATCGTTAAACTTTTTAACAATTATGGTGTACTCGCTTGCAGAAAAAGTGGAAATAATCGAACTTTATTTTAAAAGTAATGAATGTGGCAGTCGGGTTGCGCAGATATTCAATGAACGTCATTCTGACAAGCACCTTTATGGCAAAATTGTTCGCGAGTTAGTAGTAAAATTTCGCGAAACTGGTTCCGTTATGAATAAAAAGAGACAGAGGGAAAATCTTGTAGTAAATGAAGCTATGGAGGTATTCGTATTGGGCCAAGTTGCCATGGATAGTACCATAAAATAATGTAGTTACTACAACAACAACTGTGGTAACTACATTATTCTATGATAGTATGATGAGTACAAGAAAATTAGCCAATGAGTCTGGCGTGAATCGTACAAGTGTCCAAAGGATATTAAAAAACATAAGTTCCACCCGTACAAAATTCAGTTGGTACAAGAACTCACGAAGACGATTTTCATCGTCGCTTGCAATTTTGTGAAACTATGAGTAAACGACTGGCGAATGATAATAATTTCCTATTTAATGTATGTTTTTCAGATGAGTGTACTTTCTTTTTGAACGGTGTAGTTAATCGGTACAACTGTCGGTACTAGGCTGAGGACAACCTTAGGATTTTTCACGAGGTGCACACACAAAACCCTCAGAAATTGAACGTGTGGGCTGGTATTTTTGGAAATTCTATTGTAGGTCAGTTTAACAATATTGAGAAGAACTTCAACGCACAAGTCACAGAACTGCTATCTAGCAACTACCGCAGCTGATCGTTCAACCTTGTGACAAGTGAAAAAATGCGTAAACATCTAGAAATAATAAGAAAAACGTCAAATTGGTCGAAGGAATTTATCCTTATCATTTACTCTAATAAATGTTTAAATAAACTTTTCAAATTTCAATCCTTCATATTTGCTCAATGACTCGACCGATTTTCAAAAACGAAGCGGGAAATTATAGAGAATAGAAAGCTCTTTTCATTGCGGTACCACTTGAGCCCCCTTCCCATTTGAAAAAAATTGGGGGATGACACCCCCACTTAGAGGGTTGAAGATTTTGCAATGATTTTTGGGGCAAAAGTTGTCCCCCTCACAAAAAAAATTGACCTGTTTTTGGATTTTTTTGAAAAAACAATACCCTGGCCGTCATGCCTTGCGGAACGTTTTCGATGGGCCATCCTATATAATTACTTAAAAGGTATTACTTTTAAATATTTTTATATTATTTGCAACGTTTGGAATTGTTTAAAACATATTTGTGACGTTTGACAAAAGAATAGCATGTTCTATTCGGAGTAAAAATGAATTTTTGTGCCTCGCCTGGCGTCAAAGGTACAGCGTCGCCACAAAAAGTATCAGTTTTACTCCTAATAAAACAATATACTAGTGTTTAGAATCGGCAACATTATTGAGAAATTTCGTTTGATCTCAAATGGTAGTTTAGGCTTTATTCTTAACCATTTTGGTCTTAAAATGTGCTTCAAAATTTTAAAGTAGAGATTTATATTCGGCGGTCCCTCCTCTATGCTAGTCCTTTTTGCATAGTCTAATGTCACCTTTTTTTACTTAACAAAAAGATGGCTACCCTAACTGAAGCTAAGAAACAACGACAAATGCAGATTCTGTGGGAAAAATGAGGAAAGCCCAGAACACCTCGTCACTAAGCACACAACAATAATTCGTGCCATAAACTTTGGCATGACTGATATCGGACATGAGGAACTAACCTGTGTAAAACCGTCCCAGATACTGGCTTTTGTCAAAGCCCTGAGACTCCATGATGAGTTATAACTAACTCGAGAAAGGGGAAGACGAAAATTAAATATCATCTAGTATTTCGAGCAAATCTACATTTACATATCATCAGTGAATATTACATTTTATGTGACTATCAAAGTATATATATAGTAGTCGGTTTAGAACGTTTTTCTACGTTGTCCGATACCAAATTTCCAGCCTGTTCTATTCGTACAATCCTCTGTTGACAGGTTTCTTTCACTCATCGCTTTGTGTACGCTTTTTTGCCATTCCAGTTTCGGTCTTCCCTGTTTTCTTCTGTCCTTTGGTTGCCAATTGATTATTTTCTTGGGCCATCCAGTGTCCTTCATTCGCTCTACATGTCCGTACCAGATCAGCTGCTTTTTCTCTATATCCTGTGTTATCGTACCTTCTATACCCATTTGTTGTTTTATGGTATTATTTCTTATTTGTTGTTGTCTTGAAATTCTCATTGATCTTCGAATGACATCCATTTCTACGGCCTCTACCCTCATGTATCTCTCAGTTATTCTCCATGTTTCTACTCCATACAGGAGGTTGCTCTTTATCATGGTTTCATATATATTGAATTTTCTACGCTTTGTTATTGATTTGCTCCATAAGATTCCATTTAGACATCCGATTATTTTTTTCGCGTTGATAATCCTTTTCTCTATTTCTCTGCCGTCAGTTCCAGTAAACCATAAACTATCAAAGTAAAGATAAAAAAAACGTTTTTAGGGCGTAAACTTGTTTTAATTATGTATTTTTTAAATTTTTAATATCAAATTATTTTCTTAGCCATTTAAATGTTCGGTGTGTCTAGGTGCACGTTAGCGTTCATAAAAGGGAAATTAAAACAACTTTCGTTGCACGTCATCAATGATACCATGCGTCGTCATGGAGTTTGCTGGTGGTCGTATTAAGATGTGCAACCAAAGTTATTTTAATTTCCCCATATAACCCTATTACAATATTTAGGTACAAGGAAACTGGAAAGCTTTCCGCACTAAGTAATGCTTAGCTATAGCCTGGTTACGAAAGCAGCCTGCGAGTCCGTGGTTGAAGCGGTCGCTTCGGGAGCGAGGGGTTCTCAGATAGATCCCCGACAAAGGTAGAATTTTTTATTTTTTGCAGCTGCCTGTAATAGCAATCAAAATACGCCGTAGGCTCTCTGGGATTCTTTTTTTTTGTTTAGATTGCACGCGAAATACACGATTGGTGTGCACCGAAGTTTTATTTTTAGTACACGTTAACGTGCACCTAGACACAGCGTTAAATGTTTAATACACATTTAGTCCAATAAAATTGTCATTTGAAAATAAAAAAATTACGGGCAAGCTGATTTTTTCAGAGTTTGTCTTCTGAGTGTAAAATTAACAAAATCGGAAATTTTCTCCTTGCGGTTTTTGAGCAATAGGGGTGGTTTTTTTAAAACTGTATTACAACAAAATAATTAGACGCAAATTGTACAGGGTGGGTCAAATTCGACGCTTTTAAATGGAAACATCCTTTTCTATAGGAGATAGACGAAAACTAATATCGGTGTCTGGAGCTCAATTTTCATCAAAAACATGATGGTGAAAACCGCACATCAATATCTGTTACCGTTTCGGAGTTACGGGGTGATTTTCAAAAATGTGCATTTTTAACAAATCGCTGTAACTTTTTTGCTATGGAAAATTTTGTATTTCAATGAAAACATTTCTAAAGCACCTTTTTACGTAGAATTTAATGGTCTAAGTATATTTTTTTAAAAATTAATAATTTAAGAGTTATCAACAGAAAAATTGATTTTTTATTTGGGACACCTTCTGTATTTTTAATTAACTGAAAAGAATTTAAAATTACCTTTCCAAAAATATAGCACACTTGATATTTTGTTATAATCCTCTTCGAAATACAGAATTTTTAAAAGTTCGCCACTTTTAACTAGTAGGCTTTGGACACCTTATTGATGATATCGTCCTATTGCTGCCAAAAGTCACTAACTAACATTTTTCCGAACAACCAAATTCAATCACTAACTATGTTTTGAAGCGGAGAATCTGTTGCAAAAGTCATTAACTACGATTTCCGGCTATTTATGTTTTATTTTAATACCGAATAGTTACTAACTATAACATCTTTATGCAATGCAATTCATCTTTAGACGCATTTTTCTCGGAAGTAATAAAAAGTAAGTTAGTGACTTTTGGCAGCAATGGGACGATATGCCCTTAATGGAACTCGAAAACATATTTTTCCAGCAAGACGACGCACCGCCTCTGAACGCTGAAGTTATCAGCAAATTTTTGCAGCCAATTTCAAGAATAACTGAATAGCTAACCAAGATCCCAGCCGTTGGCCGTCGAGGCCGCCTGACTTAGTGCCCATGGATCTAATCCTATGGATATATTTGCGGAAGAATAAACGTCTCTTGGTCCTTATTCTTTCGTATAATCTAGACAAGAATTAGAAATACTTAGCAGTTATAAGAGGGTATCTTTCACCCTACTGAGTTAATGAATTCCGCGAGAAATGTTCAAAAACCGTCTGTCCATAACAGAAAACGGTCGATATGTCGAACACCTGTAGCAAAATCTCATGTCCTGGTTTGCTATTTATTTTTATTGTTATTAGATATAGTTTAAATGTGTTGATGTTGGTTAAATATATTTTAAATTGTTATAAAATTCTGCATCTCTCATAGCAAATATTATTTTTGTTTTAATTAATGCTCACAGCTAGAATTTTTTTGCATTACAGCCTTCAAAGCCTATACTTATTTAAAGCGGGCGAATTTTTATATACTCTATATCTCGAAGAGGAATCGAGCAAAATATCAAGTGTGTTATATTTTTGGAAAGATAATCTTAAATTCTTTTCAATAGATTAAAAATATACAGGACGTCACATATAAAAAATCAAATTTTCCGTTGATAATTCTTAAATTATTAATTTTAAAAAAATTATACTTAAACCATTAAATTCTACGTAAAAAGGTACTCTGGAAATGTTTTCATAAAAATAGAAAATTTTCCATAGCAAAAAAGTTACAGCGATTTGTTAAAAATGCATATTTTTGAAAAACACCCCGTAACTCCGAAACGGTAACAGATATCGATATTAGTTTTTGTGTATCTCCTATAGAAAAGGGTGTTTCCATTTAAAAGCGTCGAATTTGACCCACCCTGTACATAAGAATGTTCTCTATAAGTTTGCCTAATGATTTTTTTTATAAGTTTATTATTTCCGGACTTAGCGGCCGTTTCATGAGCCCTTTGGGGTGGTTTTCAAAAAGTTTGTTTTACAGCAAATTGACCCGTATGAGAGTTGTTCATAATAAATGGCCAAGCAACTTTTCTTCATGATTTTTTTTGTAGCTTGATTATTTTTGGAGATTTAACGCTACGTATTTTTTTTATTTTCACCGAGATTTTCACTCTCGGTGATACAATTTTACTGGATTAATTTTAGTTTATTCTACTTACCACCTTTCAGTGCTTTATAAAAAAATGTGTATTTAAAGATATTAATTAAATAAACTTCGTGTCATATAAAACTAATGTAACCCAATTAGTTTGATTTAAAACGATTATTTGCTTCTTCTTTTACACCAGATCTATTTATCCTGTTAATCCTGTTAATAGGCCAAGATTATGTACAAGGTTTTTATTATAATTTCAGGGATTAAATGTTGACGGCCTTAATCTGTAACCTGAAGGTTTTATTATTGGAGCAAATTAGAGTTATAAAAAGAGCTGTTTCTTCAAATTTTAACTTCTATAGGGTGGCTCAGAAGAGTGTCAATGGATCGGGATACTTTTTTTAAATGGAACACCCTGAATATTATTGAATTTTCTGCTTTCTTTCAGGTCATTTTACATAATCCTAAGATATGGGTAACTATATTTCGATAGTTTGAGAGATAAAACATAAATAAATAAAAAATATATATATATTTTTCAGCCTTTCTATAAAAAGTTATTAAAAATACAAGAACTGTTCTGAAATCAAAACTATATTAGTTCTTTACATTAGATGGTCGGTACTTACTTTGCTAGAAATATGGTAATCGTAAATTATGCCGGACGTTCAAAATTCTACGCCAAATTTTTTCAGATATAAAATAACTTTTTTTCGTTTTTTTTTTAATGGAGCACCCTGTATATTATTTTTTTTAATAGATGGAGAATTAAAAAATCAACATTTCTTTTATTTAGAGTATTTAAAATTTTTTACGGTTTCGCTGATATTCGTGGTTTTCTATTTCATGTGGCATTTTTCATCAAAGCCATCCAATGATTTTTCTCTTGTATTTTACCGTTGAAAGAACCATATACAGAGAAAACCAGGCTACTAGTAACATAGCAAGTTAGCACTGCCGGCTAGTCGGCTAGTCAGGCAGTACGAAGTTGCAGTTGTGCTTGGACGGGTCGGTCGTGACAGACTAGAACTACGACGCGAGGAGTGCCGAGTATTTATTATTTTCATTTTAAGTGTTTACCTTCACTTAAGGTAACATTTAAAATAAAAATACTTAAATCTTTATTATTTGTGTGAGTTTACAAGCCAAAACTAAAAATAAATAAATTCTCTAAACCCAAAAAAAATAAAATATTACTCTAAATAAAAAAAAAGTTATAACAAGTGTTGAAAAAGACCATCTTCTTGTGTTAGACAGAAGCCTAGGCGGTGGTAAAATCCCCGTCTGACATTGGCTAACATATTAGGGCTAATAGTTTGGAAAGCCTCTCGTATTTTTACTTAAAGCTCATCTAGATTATTAGCTCTATTATGACCATACACTCTGGGTTTTACATAACCCCACAAAAAGAAATCATTAGGAGAAAGATCTGGTGATCTAGCGGATCACAAAATAGTTCCATGTCTACTAATTAAATGGTTAAACACTTGCTTTAACTCCTGTTCTTCATTAATCAACACATCAACATTGTGTTTTTGTGGGGACACGCACCCATGTGTTTCAAAATTATTAATAACTCTTGATACAGTAGATAAAGATGGAATTGGCCTGTTTACAAAAGTTTGTGGAAAAATTGTTTGTATATCCCGATAAGACCTATTTTGGAAATACCATTTTACAATTTGAATTTTCTCACGAACTTCGTAAACATCCATTATTTTACTTAAAAAATAAATTTTACAGGAGAACTGTTGCGAGAATCTATGTATTCGTTTTGGCTATTAAAACACGAATAAATACAAATTATGAAACATTCTTATCACATATCTACCTATTTTTATTTTATGGCATTTTCTCGGCTGCTTTTTATCCGGCGGACGGGCATACGCTAATTCGTCCGGTTCTGCCTATGTTACTACTACAGTGGTCCGGTCTGTATATCGATCTGTATATGAAATAATAGTGCGTGTATCTGCGAATCCACTAAAAATTTTGGAATACTTTAAATACAAAAAATGTTTATTTTTTAACTTTCCATCTAATAAAAAAATATACAGAGTGTTCCGTTTAAAAAAAAACAAAGAAAATTTATTTTATATTTTAGAAAGGTTGGCATAGAATTTTGAACACCCTGTATGATTTAAGATTACGATATTTATAGCA